CAAGGTATTTACATGAGCATGAGCCATATGCAGTAAATGTCATGAAATTATAGTTTTTGTTAACTTTGTAAAATGGGGTGGGTTCCCGTACAGATCCTACATTATGCAGTGGTCCCTATGCTAAATAAACTATATATTGGAATTATTCTGTTTCCTCTTTCTACCCTCTTTCTTACTGCCTTCCTTATTAGTATAACACCTATCATGGTGACTACTGAAGCACCTCCGTTTAGGCTTAAGTATGCTTGCTATTTTGCACTGTTTCCTTAATTCAGGCCCTCAAGGTCCTTCATCCTGCCCCTTTTAGATGTGTCTCTGCTTCAATATAACTGAGTTACCTAATCAGGTCATTGACAGGAATCTTGAGAAGCAGACTTTCTATTGAGAGTGTAATTCAGCCTTCAGGTGCAAAGATAGAGACACATTTAAACATCAGAACATGAAGACTAACTTTAGACATGTGGTCACTTACTGTGTTTGAATCCAGCGGCTGCGTCCTCTGAAGGCTAGATTTGTTGGCCGATTACATCATAGCACTGTGCCGTGGACTATACGGGTTGAAATAATCCTCCTTATGTGACTGACAAATGTAGCGTTCTTTTTGCCCTTTTGGAAGGACTGTACCGCTGCATTTTTTGTTGCCTAGGGTATCCCATGATTCATTAAGAGTCCAAGCAAGCTAGCTGCTCTGTGCTCAGAGGAAAAAAGGGAAATGACAGTGAACAGTGGTGAAAATTATTAGTGCAGTTTGACTTAATGCAAGTATGTGAATATTTTCGTCTTAAATAAAGGAAAATAGTTATTTACAGTTTTTTATGGTTTTTTAGCCAATATGGAGCTGGTAAAAGATGTCCCAGACCTAGACAGCACAACAGCTTTGCTTTCACAAGCAGACTGTTATGACTGTTCCCATAATGTTCCACTTGATACTTATACATTAAACTTTTACTGAAAATTAATTAGGGAGTAAATTGTATACAATGGACAAAGAGACGGAATAGGAGGGCAGAGAGAAAGATGGGATAAGAACTAAGGGCAGAGAAAGATGGGAAATAGTGCATGAAATAAGAGAAAATAAAAGAAAACAGCAAAAATAGAAAACTGAAGATATGCGGTAGCTCCTAGAAGTCTGCTTCCTCACCTGTATGAGAAAAGAGGGACACAAAACAGAGAGAACATCAGGAAAAAGAAGACGACAGACAACCAAAGTAAACATGTCCCTTAGATATCCATTTGTGTGGAAAGCAAAACCTATAATGATTACACAATAACATTCTGGGATGGTATATATCTGTAGCTGCAGCTTAGTATTTAATATTAAGTCGTGCATACACTGTGCGATATTTTCAATCGTTGTACACAGCTACAGCTCAAACTGTTCAATGAAACCGTAGGGTTTAAAAGTTCACAGCTCACAATGCATGGTCTCACAATGTGCGGCCCGATGCACTGGTGCGATCTTACGACGTTCGACTCAATTTCAAACATTTGGTTTTCTCCCGACCTTATGATTGCTGATCTGGAGGTTTGTTGTGAGAGGCAATAATCCCCCGTTACCCCCTGTAAACTACATGACGTGCGACGAGGCTGATAGTCGGCCCAATCAAAAAATTCTCGCACGACTGGAGAATCGGCCCGAAAAGGGCAAAAAAATCATACAGTGTTTGCCCGGTTTAGTGTGTATCTGTGAACACCAGGAACCAAAGATTAGGATGTTATGTTGTAACTCTATCACAGCAAATATCATAAGTTAATTCTCCTATTAGCATGCCACCCACTTCTGCAGAGGTCTGGTAATGAGCCATTCACTTTGTTCAGGTGTTGGAGAAGAGATTCATCAGAAAGAAGGAGAATCGTGGCCATGAAGGAGAGGAATAGGCAGGGTAAAGGATGCAAATGAATAAAACGTTTTTCTTTTTAATAGTAAATAACTTCAGGTTAATTAGATTTCAACAATTCAGAGCAGGTTTGCACTCTAGAGGGCTGAAGGCAGAAAGGTAATATACACATTCCATAACAAAGCATTTGTGTCATGAGAATCACATTCATGCAAACATTTCACCAACTTATCTACGTAGATTTCCAAAAAAACAGATTTGTTTGTTACTAAGTTGAATTTTGCAGAAACTGTTATGATTCTGTTTTTTGTTGACTTCTGTTTAAATTCATTTTTGAGTTTTCAATTATTTGTGTCATTCTGTTTTGTTGGTCATTGGTTCCGTTTCTATTTTGTGTTATATTTAAGCAGTGTTATTTTTTGAATTACTGTCTGTTGCCCTCTTTGTGCCCGTCTCCTTTCCCCTAGCTCCCTTCTAGTTACTTTTATCCACACCTGCTCCACATCAGCTAATTAGCCCATTCTTTGTTCTGTCCCTCATTTATATACACCACCTGTGCAGTAGCTAACTGCTGGATCCTCTTCTTTTCTTTGTTTATTCTTGTATGTTTATCCCAAGTTCTTTTATTTTTGGTTTCTGAGTTACCAGCCTGTTATTTCTGGATTCATGTTTTTGTACTGTTCAGTTCAGCAAAAACTATCTATGTTTCCTTTATTCTGCACTTAATTCAACAACAACATCCAACCCTGACAGAAACATGCTGCAGTGTTAATGTGCAAAATATTGTTAGATTATATATCTTTAAGTAAATTTACATTATAAAATAGAATCAGAACATGGGTGTGTGGCCCACTCAAATGAATTCTATGTTGATAATTTTGCTTGTACTTTATTCCAGGCAAATGTAATTAACTTTATACACTCTATTAAAAAAATCAATAACACAAATATCCTGTTGTTGCATTTCTCTGCTTCTGTGCTCATTGATTCATGGCCGCAGAGGATAAACAAATAGAACTAGCTTATTTACTCTGTCACATTCTATAAATCCACTCCTGTCATACATGTGCTTCTCTTCTGTAGTTAGGTAAGTCATTACGGTTTTAGAATAATCACAAAATTATTTTCGGTGCTTTTGCAAAACAGTAAATCCTCTGACGTTAGAAGATGAACTTATTCCAAGGTAATGCCAAACCAGCCATCTGTGTGATTCAAACCGGCATTCAATTAACAGATAATTCCGCTCGGCTGTTTTCCTTCTCTCACTACCTTTGACCTACACACTGTGCCTCAGATGACACTAACTGATTCTCCACCCTGGTAAAAGTGTAAATCTACCAATGACTCAGTTGAGTAGCTTAAGTCGATGAGAGAATAAAAATCAATAAGAAGTCACGGGGGATTTCTCAATTACCACTGAATGTAACCATAATCACAGAGTTCATTAAATGAAAATATAAGTTGAGGTTCACATAGTGGCCCCAACCCCACAGTGTCATGTGTTGAAACACACCCTGTATTTATAATTAGTATCTGTGACAATAATCCTTTACATAATCAGTGACCATCTGGGATAGAGCTAAACTCACTGCAATGGAAAAGCTCTAACCTTGGCACGGTTACCCACTGCTGGGACTTTGAGTATTGGCTATGTCCTGCTCCTGGTTATTGAGCAGCTAGAGTATCTCAGCAGTTAAGCCTCATTTTTTATGTCTTCTTTTCTGCATCGTTAGGTTTTTTTTCTCTTATTTCATGGGTTAGTTAGCTTTAAAAAGACTTGTTTATTCAACTAAGGAAGGCCCTTTTTAGTGTAAACAATCCTCTGGTGTGCCAGTTAAAATGGAGAAATCAATAGCAGAAATCAGATATAGTACCTTACAAAATTATTTATAGTCTTTAAACAAATTTTAGTTTTTGTGCATTTAATGTAAAAGAACCCAGATCTGCAGCTACACCAAACAAATAGGGTCTATTTAGTAACTAAAGGGTTTGTGTAGGTAATTGGTGGTGCTGCATTTTACAAGAGTTTAAAGTACATCAAGCTGAAGATTTTTTTTTTTTTGCAAATTAAATAAAATTATTTGCTGAGAAAACTACAAGCAAGTTTAATTTTCTCTTCACTTCACATCTGTTTATGTTAAACTGATGTGTTGTTCCACAATCCCGACCCCCCATACATATATTGAACATTGTAGCTACGATTGGATAGAAGGGGGAAAAAAATAGGTGTGAAAACATTAGTAATGCACTCTGTCAAATATCAACCATAGGGACTTGTGGAATCCACATTATTAAATGTGCTTTAAGTCCAGGGAACATTTTAAGGCAGCTGGTCTTCTCAGACCGCCAACAGTTAATATGTCTTTCCTGATCATTTCCATGTTAATGTAATAGACCAACCTAAACAACCTACAAATTATATCATTTTCTGGGCCTCGGTCCAAAAAACATATTAAAACAGTGATTGTAAATCCATTTTATGAGATTATTACAACCAAATGGGAGGTTACTGCCCTAGTAGACAAGGACAGGACAATTTAGAGGTATTTTGGAAGAGCTTGGCTACAAAAGCATAGCCATATAACTTATAACTTAGATATTAAGTGAAAGTTTTTTTTTCATTGTTAGAATATGCCCTTCTGAACAAAACATTAACTATTGGTGAAGGACATTTCTTTG